CTTTACCACTAAGCAAGCTTAAATAAGGCTGCCCCAAACTGCTTTTCACATTACAAGTTACTATCACTCACTAGTATCTTGACCCACTGGAAATTTCTCCCACCCTTGCTCCTAAAAGAACACCTGAGACCATCAGTGCCCAAACAAGCAAGGCAATAGCACTTGGATGCAATTCTTCACACATTCACACACCTGCAATGTTCTGGGACACCAGTCCCACGCTACATGGGTCTCTTCAGATCTGACAGCCCAGGTTTCTATTTCCTCTTTGACCAATAAAGCTTTTTTTTTTTTTTTTGAGAAGGAGTTTCACCAGGATGGAGTGTGGAATGGCAACCTCCATCTCCCACGTTCAAGCGATTATCTTGCTTCAGCCTCCTAAGTAGCTGGGATTACAGGTGCATGCCACCACACCCAGCTAATTTTTGTATTTTTAGTAGAGACACGGTTTTACCATATTGGTCAGGCTGGTCTCGAACTCCTGACCTCAGCCTAGGCCTTCCAAAGTGCTGGGATTACAAGTGTGAGCCACGGTGCCCTGCCCAGAAAAAAGGTGGGGGAAGGGCATTTGATGTCATCAGACCAGGTTTAGTCTGTTGAAATCATTCTTTCATGATAAAACCTAGTATTTGCTTAAGCCTTTCCCTTGACCCTCCTGGTCTGAGTGAAATGTCAGCATTTGTGAAGCTGTTTCAGGAAGCTGATACTTTCAACACATAAGAGCCATGGTTTGGCCTGAGCCCAATTCTTCTTCATTTACAAGGAGAATAGCAAAAATCATCAGACATTTCCAATGTCAGCAACCTTTACTACAGCATTAGAAAATAGAGTAAGTGTGCAAGAAGACAGGGAAACAAGTAAAAAGCATGTTTTTGTCCCCAGGCTTTTTTGTAGCAACTACACTGGCTTCAGCTGGATAACAAATTGTCCTGGAATTCTTGGCTTTGGAGCAAACATGTCAGCTCCCTGGTTACGCCTTCGTCATTGCCCAAAGTACCACACACTTTAACCTTCCTGCTCTTTCCATAGGCCTGGGTTTGTCCCGTATCCAGGAAACTTTATATGTTGTCTAAACTGAGCATCCCAGCAGGCTACAAGGCAGATGGCAGCTCAGGATTCAGAATGTTGACCAATTCCTACCTGGATCCACACCACCAAGCTGTAACTCAGCCTGCCTGTGCAGAAATAGGAGACCAGCCACGTGGCTAACAGCTTTTTTAACTGCTACTCTCAGCAATGAGGAACTTCCCCAGAAGACAAGATTCAGTAAGACGGCCTTCATCGAGAGAACTGAAATGGAAGCAATATCAAGATTGATCCAACAGGATACACAGGTTCAACCAAACACTCAAGACAATACGCAAGCCCCCAAAGCTCAATTAAGCCAGGAGGAGATGAGGACCAGGTGCTGCTGTCTTGCCCTCTAGTCCTTGGGACCTCAGGTCACAAACCCAGGACATCATGCAGAGGTCTGCATTGTCATAAGAGGCTTCATACTTCAGTCAGGAAGGAAGCCAGGACATGCCTGAGGTAGCACCTGAACTACATCTTTTAAATGCACAACACGCATGAAAAAACCGAAGTACAGAGTGTAAAGTATGAAGCTATCTGTGTAAAAAAATAAGAGGAGAAGGGTAGGTAGGAGTATGTATAGGAGGAAACCATCTCTGCAAGGGAACTTAAGAAGCTGGCAGCACTACCTCTGGGGAGGGGAGCTGAGCAGTTGGGAGGAAAAGGTAGGAGGAATACTTTATGTTTGTATCTTTTCAATTCAGAACCATGTGAATGTATAACCTTTTAAAGAACAAATTAAAATTTTAAAAAATGCAGAATGCTACTATCTTATTTATTTTAAAAATGCTCTATAAATGTGTGTGCTCATAGAAAACGTTCTGGAAGAATCCTATTGTGAACCATGGGTTACACTGGGACATGGGAGTAGGGGAAGGAAGGAGACTTTCATGTTTTATTTCACACCATTAGTAGCATTTTACTTGTTTCCAAAAGGCAGTACTACTTTTGCAAATTTTACTTTAAAAAAAAAAGAAAAAAATCTTTACAAACGGCAACCTCACTTTCAAAAACAATCCCTAAACTCCCACAGCACTCTGTCTCACATTACTGAATCACATCCCATCTTGTGTTACGATTATTCATGTCCAGGTCTCATCTCTGTTAAAACGCTGGAGCAACTGCAACCACGGTCTGTCTACCATGCTGGTTCCACTTCCCAGGGACAAGACTCTACAGAAAAGACCTGGTAAGGAATAAAACAATCAAACTGGTAACCAAGCAATTACACAGGACAAAACAATCAACCAAAGTTAAGAGTGAGCAGTAATCTTATACATCTATTAATTAGTATAAGAATTATTGCCGGGCGCGGCGGCTCATGCCTGTAAGCACTGCACTTTGGGAGGCCGAGGCGGGCAGATCACCTGAGGTCAGGAGTTCAAGACCAGCCTGACCAACATGGAGAAACCCCGTCTCTACTAAAAACACAAAATTAGCCGGGTGCATGCCTATAATCCCAGCTACTCGGGAGGCTGAGGCAGGAGAATCGTTTGAACCCGGGAGGCGGAGGTTGCGGTGAGCCAAGATCACACCACTGCACTCCAGCCTGGGTGACAGAGCGAGATCTCCAAAAAAAAAAAGTCAAGCAAAGAGTAGCAGCCAAATTCTTCAAATTCAGTAAATTCGTATCTCAAGACATGTTCTTTATTTAGGAAAATTCCTGAGTGACCTATGAGTGTAGAAAGATGATGCTCCTATTAGCACACGGCCTGAAGGGATTAAAAAAGTAATTTTTCTGTAAAATGCAAGCAGAAAGTTTGAGTTTCTGGGAAAAATGGGAGTGTGCTAGAAAAATGAAGGTGATGTGAGGTGGTCCAGAAAAAGAGGGCTCAGTACTAAGTAAGAGACCATGTGGCAGAGAAACAGATTGCCCCTGGGAAACAGAAATTCTGGGAAGCAAGAGGCACTGAATGTTGACGTCTCAATGTTAAGATACTTTCTCTAAAGTAATGTAACTCCTCTTTGTGGCCTCTAACAGACTGTCACTTATTACCACTGACATGAGTTTGCACAGGGGATTATCCAGAATGGAGCAAATGGGGCGGAAGGATCCCTCACATCCATAATTCTCAGTAACACTCTCAAAACCCTCAATCTGAGGGCCAGATTTATTCCCCTGCCTGAAACAACAAGGAACAAAACCAGACAAGATATATGAAAAAAATGATTCCAGATGGAAATACATGAATGATACTGATAGAGGAGAAATGCTGATACCAGTAGACAGAAAATCTACATAGAACAAACAGAGATCAAGAGATGAGCAGAAGTGGAAAAAACAAAACAAGAGGTAACCAGAAAAAAAATGAATGCTGCTATGAACCCACAAGAAATAAAAGGACTAGGGTAGAACTGGATTTCTCACAGTACGAGGAATGGACCCTGTCTCTGTTTGGGGCTGACACCTGGGTGCCCACCTTTCTTTCACTCTCCAAATCCCATCTGTTAGGAAGTCTTGTTAGTTACGACTTTAAAACACATTCAGGACCCAACCACTTCTCTCTGCCACTGCTACCACCCTAACCCAAGTCACTGTCAGCTCTCATCTGGACAACAGCAGAGATCCTCTTCACCTTCCCAATTACAATTTCACATGCCCCTGACTCCCAATCCATTTATTCACATAGCATTCAGCACATCTGTCACCTGACACAAGAGCTTAAATTATTTGCTTATTGTCTATCTCGCCTACTAAAACGTGAGCTCCATGAAGGCAAGGTCTTCTTTTTTTTTTGTTCATTGCCTTACTCCCAGAGACCAGAACAGTGCCAAGGTATACACAATCATCCCTCAGTATCCGTGGAGAATTGGTTCCAGAACACCCCTTCATTCTCCACTCTTCACACATCAGTTTATGGGGGTTCAGGAGGACCAGGATCTGCAAATCATACTGTGAGAAACATCATCTTGCTTTGTCAACTAATGCTGGGACTACAACGACTTGTATATAAGAGATTCATAAATGCTCACTGAATAAAAAAATGAATAGAAAATAAGTTTCAGGTCATATTTGGTACCTAGGACTAGCCTGGGCAGAACCCAGATGCTTTTGTATCTCCTAGCACACACGATGAATGACAGAATTGATACTCAAAAATGATGTGAATTCTGAAAGAAAATATATTGTTTAACAGGGACCTAAGCCAATTCTGTGTCAGCCACAAGAAACACAGAGATGGCTATGGCAATTCTTCAAAAACTTACATCTGTATCTCCACTAATTTGTGAACAAGTTCAAGTAACTCAGATATAGTATAACTTGCTCTACTCGAGATGTATGCAAGAAACATTTGGGAGTCACAAAGAAGGAAGTGAACATCTTTACCTGAGGAGGTCAGAGGGTCAAGGAAAGATTTCTGAAAAAGATTTAACTTAGGCTGGGCATGGTGGCTCACACCTGTAATCCCAGCACTTTGGGAGGCCAAGGTGGGTGGATCACTTGAGGTCGGGAGTTGGAGACCAGCCTAGTCAACATGGTGAAGCCCTGTCTCTACTGAAAATAGAAACATTAGCTGGGCATGGTGGCACACGCCTGGAGGCTGAGGCAGGAGAATCGTTTGAACCTGGGAGGCGGCAGGCTGCAGTGAGCAGAGATCGCACCACTGCACTCCAGCCTGGGAGACAGAGCGAGACTCCATCTCAAAAAAAAAAAAAAATTTAACTTGAGCTGAGTCTTTAGGGAAGAAGGTACAGTCTGTGTGAAGGCATAACATACATGATTAAGTGGTTACTGAGAGAGAGTTAACAGAATATGGAGATATTCTGACATAAGACAGAAAAAAACTACAAAGTACTTTCCTTTAAGGACATAGCCTGTGCTTTTAAAAAAAGTTCCTGGACCCACCTCTCAAACTACCCATTTCCCAAATAAGATGTGACCTCCAAAGGGGCTCAACAGATTTAAAAACATCAAATAACACAATCAGGGAGGGAAGACAAAACATTTATTCCAGGCTAGGTCTTAAAATGCACACTGTACTGGTTCCCTGTTCTTATCAGCACCAATAAGGAGAGAACATGCCTTAACGGCAGCCCCACCCAGAGCCTGCTGCATGGCTGCTGTGAGGCTCCCCATGAGTCCATGCAGTCTTCTTCCTCACTGGTGCAGCTGGTGAGGTTTTCTACCCTCACAGCAAAGGGATCCTTAACTATAAATTCACTGTATGCAGGGAAGAGGACAGAATCTGATGTATTGATTGTTCCTCATCTAAACCATGACTTAATCCTTATCTTAGGATTTAACTATCTTTATTTTCTGGTTAAAATTAAAAAAAAAAAAAAAAAGTGGGGGGAGGGGGAGAATGGTAAGGGACAATAGCAATAGAGATTACACTGTGCTGACACAGAGACTAAATTCTAATCAGAGTGAAGACCCATATAAAGGGCCAGCTGATAGTTTACAGGAAGTAACTACATGGAGTCTAATCGAGACATACATGCATTATGTCTCATTAGCCTTAGTAATGAAAAAGAAAACAATTCTCAACAAAACTGGAGTCCACAGTTGTCAAGTATGCTTTCTCAGGCATGGGTAGCTAAAAGTCTGGAGAAATGGGTTCTCTCCATGCCCAGTAACAAAGCAAGATGGTCTCAGGTTTGATATTAAGAGCAGGTCCCATTGTCAGGCGGTGTCCGCAGCTCACAGCTGAGTTCAGCAGTGGAATCGAGTGGAGAATTTGGGAGATACAGGCACAGTCAGAGGCTGGTCACTTGACTTTATCTCCAGACCCTGGTACTTGCGTATTGGATTTGCCTTATGCACCTGCAAAGTAAGGAAAATAAAGTTTAAATAAAGTTACCAGTGAGAGGGATGTCAGAGAACTATTCTTACAATTGCTTTTATTTTTTTCTTTTTGAGAAAATGTTGTAGAGCTGTATAGATACCAGTCACTAGTTTAAGGTGTGGGGAGTGGGGCCTGGGGGGCAGCACAGTATGACGGAAAAGTGCAGGTGCTCTGGAGCCCAGTTTCTATTCAGGTCTCCATAGGTGCCCCAGCTTTCCTTCAGGCCATGCAGTCTCCTCAAGTCCCTCAGCTTTCACTACAGAATGTCAAACCTATGTCCTCTGTGATCTACTAGGGTATAATAGGGCTGTACTCAAGTATAGCAGAGAAGTTACAAGCTAAGAATTTCCCAGAGTACAGTCTTAAGTTTACAGACTAAATATTCATCAAAAGCCTGAATCCTGGGGGAAAAAAAAAAACAAAATAAAACACAACATCCATACCAGGAAGGGTGGCTAAAGAAGGCATGGTCCCATCCATCCTGTAGGGTAGTCTAAAATCAATCCTAAATCAAGCCAGATTAGTACAGAGTTAACCAGCATTGACTGAATCGTGCTTTAGAATGTTGCCATCCACTATGTTGAGAATTGCTGCAAGAAACAGTTCTATAATGGGGACAAACACAAGAGGCAGGTATCAAGTGCTAAAGAAAAATCAAAGTTGAGGCCAGAAAAAAAAAAGCTGATTGTATGAGTGTATATAGAGTGGGGATTATACTATTTTCTCATTCACTCAGCAAATGGTAGTCTAGATTTTGCCAAGAGGCTAGTCTCCTGAATAGTGTGTCTGTGGAACCTTCCTATGGGCATAATCACCTATGCCAATAGCTGTTTCAACTGCTAGCCTAGCATTTTATTTATTTATTTAAAATACAGATGGGACCTTGCTATGTTGCCCAAGCTTTTCTTGAACTCCTGGGCTCATGCAATCCTCCCACCTTGGCCTCCCAGAGTGTAAGAATTACAGGTGTAAGCTGCCACACCCAGCCGTAGTACAGCACTTTCAGACAAAACCTCAACAACTTACACATTTCTTTTTTTCTTTTCTTTTTTTTTTTTTTTGAGACAGTCTTGCTCTGTCGCCCCCAAGCTGGACTGCAGTGGCGCGACTGGCTTACTGCAACCTCCACCTCCCAGGTTCAAGCAATTCTCCTGCCTCAGCCTCCCGAGGAGCTGGGATTACAGGTGCGCGCCACCACGCCCGGCTAATTTTTGTATTTTTAGTAGAGTCCGAGTTTCGCCATGTTGGCCAGGCTGGTCTCCAACTCCTGACCTCAAGTGATCCACCCGCCTGGGCCTCCCAAAGTGCTGGGATTACAGGTGTGAGCCACTATTCCTGGCCTTCTTTCTTTTTAATTGACAGATAACACTGTATATTTTTATTGTGTACTGCTGATATTTTTAAGTAGACATACATTATGGAATGGTTACTATGTGAGATAATGCATTATGTTAATTAGCAAGATGCTAATTAACATTGTAGTGTGAGCACACAACATCTACTTTCTTTACATTTTTCAAGAATACAATATATCATTAATTACAGTCACCTTGTTATATGATAGCTCTCTTGAAATTTACTCCTCCCATCTAACTATAACTAAGTAACCTTTTACCAATATTTCCCCATGACCCTTTCTTTTTTTATTTATCATATGAAGTTCCATCTAAAACTCTCTGCTTCCTCATTAACACAGTTAACACAACTTGCTGCCCTCCTAACAGAGTCGTCCTTAATGCGGAGTTCAGGCTTCTTTTTGGACAACCAATATCTAAATAATTATGTTAGTGGAGGACTACCTGGAGCGATGAACACTGTAACTCCAAGGAGTTTGGGCCAAGTATTAAAACAAAAATACAGTTGCCATTTAATTCCCATGTCCTTCCCTATGTATTCTTGTCTAATTACAAAACTCAGCGGTGCTTCTTAACCCCAGAGGAAATTATAAGTTACATAAATAAAATAAACAAATAAATAAAAAACAGTCCTAGGAAAGGCATCACTGTACATGGTTATACCACATGTTGTCCTCCTTATGAAAACTTCTGGAAGAAATTCTGTTTAAAAATTCACTATCAAAGGGATAAATGTATTTTTTGAACAACTGTCTTATGTCTCATGAACACTGTTGAGTTTTGTAACTGACAGGTTGGTTCCTAAAAAGAGCCAAAATTACAGCTCCTGCGTTAGCTTCATTCACAACTCAACTTCATCACCACCCTCAGTTTGTGCAGTTCCCCCTTTCACTCATTGTCTTTGGTACAGCCTTGCGGGCTACCTTAGATCCTGTCTGGAACAAGGTAAGGTACAGGTAAAATAAAACAGAGGCATGTCTGTGTTTGTCAGTGCTCATGCTTCCAGTTACCAGTTCTCTCCGTAGCCTGGCCAGCTCCTCCTTTTTCTGCTCTTCCTCCTGTTGTCTGGCCTCCTCCAACTGCTGGGCTTTCTGGGCTTCTACCTCAGCCATTCTCTTCTCCAGCTCCTGCCGCTCCTTGGCTCTCTTCTCAGTAGCCAGCTGAAAAGGTTCCTGAACTAGAGAACCAGAAAGGCCCTCTAAGTACAGAAACAGAAAAAATATTGGTGCATAAGCAGGACTTGCATAAACCTACGCCCCCTGGAATGAGCAAGTGGCACAGACATGCACACTAACAAGAAGACTGTGCTCTAAACAAGCCCCACTGGGAGAAAGGTAGAGCAAACCACATACAAAAAGTTTTAGAATTTTAAGACTTCAAAGGGCCCCTGGAAATCATCTAGTGTAATTGGGAAACAAGCAAAGAGATAAAGTAACTTGCACAAAACTACATAGTGATTGATTTTGAGGCAGACATAGGAGAAAGAGCCCAGTATTCTTTTTGTCCCTTTTTGGAATGATTTTTTTGAAAAAGAGATGGGTTCTTGCTATGTTGCCCATGCTGGTCTCAAATCCCTGGGCTCAAGTGATCCTCCCGCCTGGGCCTCCCAAAGTGCTAGGACTACAAGCATGAGCCACCACACCCGGTGGAATCCCAATATTCTAGCACACTACCCAGTGTTTAAGGAATCGAATGTTTTATATCTAAAATTTGCTTCAGGGTGAATTCCAGAAAGCCATACTGGCTCTCCCTCCCTCATTTACTTGTTTCTCTATGGGTGGGGAAAACCTATCATTGTTGTTGAAATGCCAGCTGCTTCTGCCAAGGTTCATGTTTAATGAATCTGGCCCTAATACATCCTGCAACTCAACATAGCTGCTGGGTTCAATAAAGGCAAAAAACTGGGTCTAGGGGAAGAAAAGCTACCATCTGCTAAAGTCAAATGCTTCTAGTTGACACAGCATTGTACCGACACACTGAATCCCAGCATCCCACTGGGAAGTCTGACAATTCTGCCCCAATCCCATCAGAGTACATATAATACTACCAGCAACTGATTTCTTCTCTTTTTTGGGAACAAAGGGCTCCTGAGAGATGACGGTGTTTGGACGAGCCTTGAAGCAAGCTGCTTCTTTCTGCTGTTTCAGTTCTTCTTCCAGCTATTAGAGAGAAAGTCGGTCAGATGAGCAATGCCTCAACTTTCTATGACCACTATCTCAATAACTTAAGTTCTAATGTCTGAACTGTTTCATCAATAAAAATAGCAGATTTAATATAAACCCTAGTAAAAATCTCTCACACAAACTTTATAATGAACAGATCAGTCTGACAACATTTGAACTCACTGAGAACTAGAAAGTATTTTTAAGATACTTTTAAGATTCCCAAGTTTGCATTTTCAACATTGAAGTTTACTTTTAAATAAAAAAAAAAAGATTCCCAACACAAAGAAATGATAAATGTTTGAGATTCTTGACATGCTAATGACCCTGATCAGATCATTACACATTATATGTATTGAAACATCACTATGTATCCCAAGAATATGTACAACTATTATTTGTCAATTAAAAAAATAAAAAGTTTTAAAGTTACTTTTAAGACCAGACATCATGAAAATAAACAACTAGACATTTTCTGCCTTCACACATGATTCATTAGGAACTATACAGTATCACCTATAAAGTATTCTTCCCACCTCCAAAAAAAAATCTAACCAGAATTGAATCAAGCCTCTAGATCTTACTACTCATTTATAGGAAATACAAGCAACAGAGGAACATGTTAAACAACTGTGTGGGAACGCAATCAGCAAAATCCAGATTGTGGAAAATTTACAGTACAAACAATCCAGTTTATTCAACAAATAAAAGGCAAAGAGAGGAGCCTATAGATTGAAAGAAGATTCAGAGATTTAGCAAACAAAGACACTATGTAGACCTATATATGGATATTGATTTTAACAATTCAACTGTTTAAAAAATAATGAGAAATGTGCAGATATTTGATTACTTTTAATCTTTTTAAATGTGAGAATATTATTGTGGTTATAAGTCCTTATATTTTAAATATATACACTGAAGTATTTTTGGATGAAAAGGGATGTTACATAGAATTTGTTTCAAAGTAATCTTATATAGGTAGAAGTATCCAGCGTAGGGATAAGTGGGTAGAAGTAGGGATGAAATAAGACTCTTTATGTTTTGATCATTATAGAACCAGGTGATGGGTTCAAGAAAATTCATTATACTATTCACTCTACTTTTATATTTCTGAAAAGCTTTTTAAAACAATAGTTTTTGCTATTGTTATTTGCAGAAAATGCCCTACACAAACATTCTGTGTCTTGGTCATTGAGAAGGGGAAATTCACTATTTCCAAGGCAACAGTCCTAAGGTTCCTAGAGAACCACACCAACAGGGGACCAACTTTCAGTCATGAAAGCCATTACATCTCTCGGGCTTCAGGAGGGGTAATTCCTACAAACCAACCACAGCCTAGAGCTCCTTTTGGAAAGAGTCCAGGATTAATGATGACATAAAAATCCCAATAAACTTAGAAATTCAGGGGAAACTTTTTCCAGCCGGGTAGAATTAGATCCCAATTAAATCAGCAAATAACCAATTAATTGTTTTAAATCACCTGTCATTTATAAAGAGCAAATAACACATCATGCTGAGAAAACAGCATTGTACATTGACAACCATTCTCCCTTACTGTTTCTTACCAGTGCACCAACAGAAAGAAATAAACACAATGAATGAGTCTAATAGATGAAATAGATAAGATCTTAAAGAGACTCCCGACTCCAGAAAAGCCGGTCGGTTCCCACATTCCCCAGGTGATCACTTGGAGCAGGGACGTTCCCAGGTGATCACTTGAAGCAGGGGTCAGCAAACTCTGGCCTACAGGCCAGATCCAGCTCGCAACCTGTTTTAGGACAGCCCTTGAGCTAAGAATGTTTTTTATATTTTTAAAGAGTTGGCTGGGCACAGTGGCTCACGCTTGTACTCTCAGCACTTTGGGAGGCCAAGGCGGGCAGATCACTTGAGATCAGGAGTTGGAGACCAGCCTGGTCAACATGGCAAAACCCTGTCTCTACTAAAAATACAAAAATTAGCCAGGTGTGGTGGCACGCGCCTGTAATCCCAGCTACTTGGGAGGCTTAGGTGGCAGAATCACTTGAGCCTGGGAGACGGAGGTTGCAGTGAGCTGAGATCGCACCACTGCACTCCAGCCTGGGTGACAGAACGAGACTGTCTCAAAACAAACAAATAAAAAAAGAGTTGAAAACGTGGCTGGCGCGGTGGCTCACATCTGTAATCCCAGCACTTTGGGAGGCCAAGGCAGGCAGATCACAAGGTCAGGAAATTGAGACCATCCTGGCTAACACGGTGAAACCCTATCTCTACTAAAAATACAAAAAAATTAGCCAGGCGTGGTGGTGGGCACCTGTAGTCCCAGCTACTCAGGAGGCTGAGGCAGGAGACTGGCGTGAACCCAGGAGGCGGAGCTTGCAGTGAGCCTAGATCGCGCCACTGTACTCCAGCCTGGGCAACAGAGCAAGACTCCATTTCAAAAAACAACAACAAAAATGTGTGCGTGTACACACACACACACACACACACACACAAAATGTGAGAGACCTTATGTAATCTTCAAAACCTAAAATATTTCCTATCTGGCCCTTTACAGAAATAACGTACTGACCTCTGATTTACAGTGAGAGCCCCTGAAACAATCTAGTATGTCAACCCAGGTGATTTCAGTGTGGTGAGTCTGCCTGTCCAATCAATCAACCAAGCAATTAATGTTTTGGCTGCTCTCCCCATCCCCTACCTGGTGCTTCCAAGTTTGTGCCTTCAGAGCACCTCTTCTGTCAGTCTCCAAGCAGAACGGTTCAATCTGGGTCACATTCTTTACCTTCTTCTCTGGCAGATTAATGGTGTCAAAATGAGGCAAGGGAAGTGCCTTGAACTTGGGCACCTAACAGAAAAGAAAACATGAGATTTAAGATAAAGACTAGCTGGAAAGCAATAGCTGCTCCAGAATATCTGGATGAATCTGAAAAATAAGGAAGGACAATCAGTTTTCAAAGCAGCATGGTCTAGGAGAAAAGAATAATGGGTTCAAAAGGAAATCCAGGCTTTCCTCCTAATATTGCCTATAACCAGCAGTGTGATCAGAGGCAAGTCACTTAACCTCCTTGTGCCAGAAGGATTATTTAAATTACTTGTCCCATTTATATTTTATAGGGTTCTTAGAAAGATCAAAAGTCAGTGATTTTATAGCTAAAAGTACTATAGAAAGAACTATCTTTGAGGGATCAAAGAACAGTATTATACTACTTGCAGAAATGGAAACACCTACCTCCCCTTTCTGCAGTTCTTTTATTTTCTTCTCCTTCTGTAACTGACGCTCTTTGTCTCGAGAATCAAAGGAGAAAGGGCATATTTCCACAGTTCTTGCCTCTGGGATTTGGGGCTTAAAAGGCACCCCATAATGTGGCACAGGTTGAGCTTTTATCAAGACTGGTTCGTCCTCTTCCTAAGGGAAAAATTACAGTTTAGAAATAAGACTCCTCACTCTTAACTTCCCCAGAATGTGGAGTCAGAAGACATTATATTAACATGTGACATTAGTTAAAACAAATCACTGAGCCTCTTAGGTGTCTTAGCTTCCTTTTCTATCCAAGAAGGATGATGACTTAGGTAAGTCATCTACCACCAAGGGCTAACACAATTACTCTTAAAAGATGAAGTTTTCCACAGGAATGTTGTAAAAACTAAATAATATCTAACATTATGGATAAAATGAACGTCAGAAGATCGGTCCCAACCAAGCATATACTTTAGTCCCTTTGACCCAGCCTCTAGACTTCATTAAAACATGTGACTGGGACTTAATGGTTGCCAAACCCAGAATAGGACCACGTTGTTTGGGTTCAAGCTGGTAACACAAGATTACTGCGTATTTTAGTTTCATATGAACCTATAAAAAGGCTTATGCTTGCAATCTGCTATAAAATTACCCTAACTCTGGATATTTATAGATAAAATGGAGCTGTAACAAGAAACTGGCCTGATCAATGACAGTTTATATATTACAATTCCATAAACCATCACCATGGTCACGTTTGCAACTCCTGGGTTAATGGAAATAGGACAAGGTGGATGTAATTGCTTAGTATGAATTTTCAAAATCCCTCACTGAATAGTGACAATCTAAGGCAAAACAAAGTGCAACTTTTGATCCGTGTTACAAAGAGCAGCTGATTTTCAGTGCTACAGCAGACAAGCCTCCAATGCTTAACTTCTCCTTACTGTTTCCATAAATTGTAACTAGTTATCACTAAGAGCAGAAAATTCATACCCTTACCAATTACTTTGTTCTTGGAGGAACAAAAAAAATGAACAAATGTTCATACCCATTCTTAAAGACAAGTCCAGAAAAGAATGGATGCCTTTGAACTCCATTAAGATTAATAAATGATAAGGCTTAGACTGACTGACTATATAAAGGAAAAAGAACCCCCCTGCTCCCAGGGAATCACCTCATCTTCTTTGGTAGGCATTCGAATTCTGTTCTTCAATGCAAAGGCTGGTGACTTGGGGACAGTGATTGGAAGTACCCTCTTTTCAGGAACACCCTGAAAGGAGTAAGCAACTCAATTAGATATCACAAAACGATCTCCACTAAGCTGTATGAGAAGATTAAATCCTTTTTTCCCCCTTTGGGCAGAGACAGGGTCTCACTATGTTGCCCAGGCTGGTCTCAAACTCCTGGGCTCAGGCAGTCTTCCTGCCTTGGTCTCGCAAAGCACTGGGATTATAGGTGTGAGCCACTGCACCTGCCCTAGAATGATATTTTTGAGTTTTTAAAATATAATTAATCTAAGCACAGAAAATAAAAGAACACCAAACTGGAAAGAACACCAAATTGTCAACTCTCATATCTCTTTGAGGGTGAATTAAGAGAGAAATTTAATTTTATACATCTCATAATCCTTTTATTTGTTTGTTTGTTTTGAGACAGAGTCTCACCCTGTTGCCCAGCCTGGAGTGCAATGGGGCAATCTCAGCTCACCGTAACTTCTGCCTCCTGGGCTCAAGCCATCCTCCCACCTCAGCCTCCTGAGTAGCTGGGACTACAGGTGCTCACCACTATGCCCGGCTAATTATATTTTGTAGAGATGGGTCTCAAATTCCTGGCCTCAAGCAATCTCCCGCCTTGGCCTCCCAAAGTGTGAGGATTACAGATGTGAACCACTGTACTCAGCCTTATATCTCATAATTCCAACACATTCAACTACTCTGAAGATTTTTCCTTAATGATTTTAAAACACTGCTAACATTTCAAATCGTTGTGGAATAAATGACATGTATCATATTGTGTGCATAATTTAAAACTAATACATTTTAGAGAGTTGTTCCATAGCATTTTTTAATTAGCTCAGAATTGATATTCCATCACAAATCTGCAATTAATCCTAACTGCAAAATGCTATCTCTTGGCTGCTGTTTTGAATGAAGTGTATGACCAGATCGATTAAGAACAAAACAAAACCTCAGTAATTTCTTGTTACACTCATGTTCACATCCTGCCCTCATCAGCTCTCTATTCTGCTCTTCCCTAAAGTTTCACTGCCAGACCTACATCAACTATTGCCTGTGCCATTCTGCTAGTCTCCTAATAGTCTTTCAGTTCCGCAACTCATTCTTCCAATTCATTGTCTACATATAGTCCAAATTATTACTCTAAAACATATTTGATCACATCACTTTCTGACTTAAAATTCTTCGGGCCAGTCGCGGTGGCTCACGTCTGTAATCCCAGCACTTTGGGAGGCCGAGGCGGGTGGATCACGAGGTCAGGAGAACAAGACCATCCTGGCTAACACCGTGAAACCCCGTCTCAACTAAAAATACAAAAAAATTAGCCAGCTGTGGTGGTGGGTGCCTGTAGTCCCAGCTACTTGGGAGGCTGAGGCAGAAGAATGGTGTTAACCCAGGAGGCGGAGCTTGCAGTGAGCCAAGATCATGCCACTGCACTCCAGCCTGGGCGAAAGAGCAAGACTCTGTCTCAAAACAAACAAACAGACAAACATTAATTCTTTAATGGCTCCTATTGCCTACCTACAACAGCATAACAAATTCCTTGCCATGAAACACAAGGCACTTGCTTGAATCTCACTCATAAATATCTCCTTCATGGCCTCCTTAGTAGTAGCATTAATCTGGTACCCTCCTGACTCTCCTGCCTTACTTCTCACCCCTCCTCACACAACACGTTCCAACCACAAAGAACTACTGGTCTCTCCCCAAATGGTTCCTGTCTCATTACCTTTGCTTGTGCTTTCTCTGTCTGAAATGCCCCAGCTGCTTGAAAGCACCCAACTCATCTTTTCAAGCCTCCACTTTTATAAAGCCTTTCCTCTTTTATAAAGCCTTTCAATAGATCTCTTTACTCCCAGGACCTACAGAACTGACCCCTTTATCCCACTGTATATGGTTTCATCACAGTCCATACAAAACTTAATTGCACTTATTTATTTAGATGTTCATTTCCCCCTGCTAGCCTGAGTGCTTCGAGGATGGAGACTATTTTATTCCATCAGTCCCAAGTACCTAACATAGACCTTGGCAAGTATAAAGCATTCAGTAAATGTTTGTTGAATGAATGCAGTAAGAATGAATGAACACATGAGTAATAGAATTTATACCTTGGACTCTAGGAGGATACCTTGGGAGCCTTCTCCTTAATCCCAACAATGCTGCAACCGTTCGAAACATGTTTGGAATGTCTTTCTTGGAGTGGCTTTCAAAGGCACTTTCTGGACCATGCGAGATAGTTGCTCAATCTTTACTATTCATTTAACAAATAGTTTCCACCTCTATTATCTTGGACTACTCAGAAGTTTTAGTTCCAAATAACCTTAGACTAGATTCTAAAAGCAAAATAAAGTTTCAAATACACGTGAAGATTTGTCACCCTGGGAGGGATCCAAAAGGCTCATCTCAGGATTCAAGATGCATGGCTTTTCCAAAATGCTTTGTGCAGTATCACAATCATCAGAAGGGATTTACAGTCTCTCAAGGTGACCACTGGGAATGCTCATTCTGCTGTGAAATTTCTTATATGTTTTCTAAAGAATCATTAGCATAGTGATTCTTTAGAAAATCACTAGAATCATTAGCATAGCGAAATCCAGTATAGTAGCTCTTGTATTCAGAGTGACAAAACTCCAAGAAATGGGTTGTCAAATGATGTTCACCATAAAACAGCAACAACAAAAAAATCTGCTCTTCTATAGACATGTGGACACTAGCATCTTGCTTGAATGCACCAGGGGCAAGTGGAAGACAGACAAACAGTGAGCAAGGAGCCACGGGTCTGTCTGTTCCAGTCCAGCTCTGCTTCCAATCTGTGTAACCTTGAACACATCAGATACACTTCTAGGCCTCAGGGTTTTTTAATAAAATAAAGTAATTGAAATAAGCAATTGAGGATTCATTTAGTTCTAAAATAATTCCCTCTCTCTGCATTCGCCCAACAGAAATGTCTGCATTTTAAAGAGAAGCAATGGAAACCTCTAAAAAGTAGGCCATGAAGGAGATATTTAAGAGTGAGCTCAATGTCTTAATTAGCTGGGGGAAAGGAAAAAATGATTTATGAAAATCGTCTTTGCAGCAACTATCCACTCACACCCCATCCTCCCTCACATCAAAGTTAACTAGGGGTTCAATTAGAAATAATGAAAAGAAAACTGGGTTTCCAGAAACAGAGAAGGTTTCTTTTTTCTTTTCTTTTTTATTGCTGTTTTAAGTTTTTTAAATTATAAGCTCCTTGAGGACTGGAATATTGTCATTTGCATTCTTTTGTTTTCCCATATCACCTACTAGAAGACCCAGTAGTATCTGTTCAATGAACATATGTTGGTTAATACTACCGTATTTACTCATTTACACATCTATCTGCTCTACCAGACTATGAAAGCTTTGAGGACAAGGGCAGTGTCTTGTATCATCTTTGAATTCCTAATGTCTAACACAAATTAGAAACACAGGCTGGTGCATGTCAGCTTGTACTATTACTCACTCAGTTATCCGATATCAGAGTTCTTGTACTGTGGTGGTCACTATGCTAGGGACTGGGGATACAGAGTGAATAATATAGATATACATGGTCCCTGTTCTCAGGGAGCTCACATTCTAATGGAGGAAAGAGACAATGAAGAAGTAACAAATCAAATACTTCCAAATTTTCACAAGTGCTCTAAAGAAACCCAGCAGAATATAGAGCTAATGGTTATTAGAGGGATGCTCCCTCAATGAAGGGGAAGGTATCTCTAAAGAGGTGATACGTGATTAGAATGGGGCAATGTTGGTGGACAGATGATGCATTTAGGAAAAGCAGCCAGGACTGGGGATGGGTATATTGAAGTGAATACTTCTCCCTAAGACAGGATATGCCCCCCAGGTACCCTGGAACAGGATCTCAGGCCTGTCCCAGGGCAGTTAGGAAACTACTCTGAAGCAATGTTATTTTGGGAAGTATATATATTTAAAAAAAGACTGCTGGCCTCCCCAAGTCATCCCTAAAGTATCTCTGCTAAAATTACTCACTGGCCTCACTGACACCACATCCACCTCCGTAGTGCCCCGGCTGCCCAATAGTCAGTACTAAGTTCACATTTCACACCCTCGTGCTCAAGGCTTTGTCACTCCACCTCTGCCCCAGGAGCCGTTTTCTCATTTCTGCCTCACTTGGGCCCACTGTTGCCCAAGCCCATCTTTTATCAACCCTATTTATTGTCCCCTTGCCACTTATCAACCACAAGTGGAAGTGCACAGGAAACACTGCAAGGACACACGAAACAGCTTCAGCACTGGGGGGACATGGATGGGGAACAACAGCATCAGACAGATAAGCTGCATCAGGCTCTGGAAAGTGGGCTCTTAAATTCTGCTGTAAAAGTTCAAGACTAGAAGTTCAAAGACTCTGTTTTGTTTTGTTTTGTTTTTTGAGACAGAGTCTCACTCTGTTGCCCAGGCTGGAGTGCAGCGGTGCAATCTCAGCTCACTGCAACTTCCACCTCCTGGGTTCATGCAATTCTCCTGCCTCAGCCTCCCGAGTAGCTAGGAGTACAGGCGCCCACCACCACGCCCCGGTTAATTTTTTTGTATTTTTAATAGAGACGGGGTTTCACCATGTTAGACAGGCTGGTCTCCAACTCCTGACCTCAGGTGATCAGCCCACCTTGGCCTCCCAAAGTGTTGGGATTACAGGTGTAAGCCACCACGTCTGGTCGACTTACTCTCTTTTAAATGTTTCCATGGGCAAGCTACATTCCCCTGTGAAAGGAAAATAAATCTCGGGACCCCAAATCAAAAGTGGTGGTGTGCCTGTAGTCCCAGCTACTCGGGAGGCTGAGGCATGAGAATTGCTTGAACCTGGGAAGCAGAGGTTGCAGTGAGCCGAAATTACATCACTACACTTCTGCACTCTAGCCTGGGCAACACAGTGACATTGTCTCAAAAAAAAAACAGTAGTTCAGGTGTGACTGATGCTATGAGAAAGGATCTTAGGTGAGGTGTAGACTTTTTTGTTTTTAAATAAGCACATGTTTCCTAAGAACCTTCTATTTTAAAAGGTAACCTCTATTTTTATATAACAGCATGGGCTCTGGAATCATATCACCTAAGATTCATATGCTAGTTCTGCCGCTCACTAGTTTGTGATCTTGAGCAAGTTATTTAACCTCTATGTTTCCTAACTTTAAAATGGATTCATAAAGTACCTACAGTGCTTACCTCATAGGGTGGTTGTGAGAATTAAGTGCATTATTACATAAATGTAAAGAGCTTAGAATAAAGACCTGGCATATAATAAGCGTTATATAAGTATTAGCTATTATTGCTGTGTTATTTGTGGCAAAAGGTACTGGTTTTCCATTTATATATTTATTTAAAAGTTCCCTTTAAATTTACGTTAGGTCACAAAGTGAGTTGATTTTTAAAATAATAATATTGGTATGTAACGTACAAGGATATAGGACAAACTGAGAGAGTGGTATATAAATAAAAACAAAAACTTAGGTAAGGGGAAAAGCTAGGAGCTTGGAGGAAAATATGTTATTAAAAGCTAGGTGCCGGCCAGGAACAGTGGCTCACGCCTGTAATCCCAGCACTTTGGGAAGCCAAGGCAGGTGGATCACCTGAGGTCACGAGTTAGAGATCAGCCTGGTTAACATGGTGAAACCCCATCTCCACTGTAAATACAAAAATTAGCCAGGCGTGGTGGCGTGCGCCTGTAATCCCAACTACTCGGGAGGCTAAGGCAGGAGAATCACTTAAACTCAGGAGGCAGAGGTTGCCGTGAGCCGAGATCACGCCATTGCACTCCAGCCTCGACAACAAGAGCTAAACTCCATCTCAAAAAAACAAAACAAAAAATCAAAAGCAAGGTGCCAAAAAAGTGTTATAAAAACCCTGAAGAAATAATTTCTCTTATCTGGGCCTCCATTTTCTAGTATGTAAAATTAAACGTTGAGCCCTTCTGGCTCTAGAACTCTGAGGTTTGCATATAACCTACTTTTCCCTTGTTGTATTCACAACACTGTTTCCTCAATGGGTAAAGACAAAGAAGGCACAGCCCTTGGAGATTAATTACTTGGGTGGGGGAAGATTTCTTAAAAGTTTATTGTAACTTGGAGATTAATTACTTGGGTGGGGGAAGATTTCTTAAAAGTTTATTGTAACAGAGTTTGGCATATAGTACATGTGCTTCATGGCAGGGGAAAAAAAGCATTGTGAACAGAAGAGAGATCTCATGCAAAAAGCCCTCAATTAAAAGTAGGTATCAGGGAGGAGAACCATTTCTAAGCCTAATCATGACTTTTGTAAAGCCTGGAAAATGTAACTTCAAGTTGCTTCTGATTTAGTGCTAAGAAAATACCAATAAACAAAACTAGGTACTCAGTCAAAGGTAATACATTGGTGCAGTTTCCCCTAAAAGCATGGTGACTCTAAAACAAGCAAAAAGCAAGAAGACAGGAAAACAGTGCTTCCAGAGTTATCCTGGACCTGCATCAATCCAAGCAATCCAAACCACTGGCGGTAGGTGAGGTCCCCATCTGCACTGAAATGTAACTAAAAGCCGCTTTCGCATTTATGCAGGTGCCTAACTCCATTGCTTATTCTGTGACTGTAGCCTTGCTTCCTGATTGCACATTTTCTCTAAAATTGTGGTTGTGAGTGTATTATCAAACTACAACCCACTTCTCTGAAACAGTTTCCAGTGGCTCTTGATAAACTTTTCTCCGGCTTAACTGACCCACTAACAGCTCCCAGTAGAAGCTTCATGTTTCCCACCATCAGGCTTTTTATCATGTAATTCCCACTGCCTGGAATGTTCTGCCAATCCAGTCCATTTGCATTTCTGCAAGTCAAAATTCTATCATATAATGGAGAAGCAATATAGGGAAGTATTAGGATCACAGACTCTGTAGCTAGAGTGTCTGAACTCTTACTTGCTCCACCATGTACTAGCTGAGTGCTCTAGGAATATTACATAACCTCTGTGTGCCTCGGTTACTTCCTCTGAAACAGGTGATAAAGTAACCCACTGAAAGCGGTTGTTGTCAAAACTAATGGGCTAATATATGAAAAGGGCTTAGAGCAGTCCTGGCACATAGTAAAACTGTCAGCTATTATGATAACAATAGCAACCCAATGACAATAACTATTACTACATATTGTCAAGGCTCAGGTCAAATGGTGCCTCTCTACAAAGCACACCCTGAACTTTCTATCTGGAAGAAACCATTTTCTCCTCTGAATTCCTATTCTAACTGTCATCTCTCTCAGAACACTTCTGTCTATTTTCTATTATTCACACATATATTATCTCCCATACCAGACTTTAAGCTAACTAAGAGCAAAATCCACCTCTGATAAGTCTCTTTATCACCTGCAGTTCCTAATGTGATGCCCTGCTTATAATATCAACCCAAACTTTTGTGTGAATGGGTGGATATTTAGTCACGAGCAGGACACTTCTGCCAACACGCATAGCCTCAACCTTACCACAACATCTTCCAAAATCTTAGTAGGGCAAGGTCTGGAATGAAATTCAAAGTGTTCATCCTCTGATTTCTTCTTTGATTCTCGCTCCTGGATTCTTTTCTCAATTTCCAAATCAAAGCCAATAGGCTCAGTGGGTGGTTTCACAGGTGGTTTCTTAGGCAAGATGGGCCCACCTTCAAGTATTCTGGGATCAAGTTCACGTGCTTTGAATTTGTATCTGTAAGGTAAAAATTTAAATAACCACAAAAAAAATTTTAATAAAATAAAAACTTCACAAACAAAGTGAGCCAACCACAAAGAATAGTAATCATTAAAATTATGCTCCCATTGACTGGACAACAGAATAAAATAAATAAAAATGAAAAACAATTGGCCGGGCACAGTGGCTCATGCCTGTAATCCCAGCACTTTGGGAAGCCAAGGCGGACGGATAACTTTAGATCAGGAGTTCAAGACCAGCCTGGCCAACATAGTGAAACCCCATCTCTACTAAAAATACAAAAATTAGCCGGGCATGGTGGCGCACACCTGTAATCCCAGCTACTAGGGAGGCTGAGGCAGGAGAATCTCTTGAACTCGGGAGGCAGAGGTTGCAGCGAGCTAAGAGGCACCATTGCACTCCAGCCTGGGCAACAAGAGCAAAACTCCATCTCAAAATAAATAAATTAATTAATTAATGATAATAAAAGAATAAAAAATGATTACCCATCACACACAGTAAAATTTCAACTCTCCACAACACTATCTTTACCTCTAGAAGAAAGAATAAATGAGACAGTCCTAACATCCCTACCACTTAAGAACTGAGGCTTCACTTCACAGAAGAAGCTCCCCTCCTCAAAAGAAGCACAAAAAGGAATGGAAGAAGGATATAGGAAATAAACTCCAATGCTATGAACCACACTAAGTTTCCATTTCCCTCCACTAGTAATAGCTGTAACAATACCTTGGGGAGTCACAAAAGGGTGGGATCTACCTAACCTAACCTTAGAGGGCATTCCTTAATTGAAATCCTAAGTAAATTCTTCTACTCCAACCTCTGGATTCGATTTTGTGCGATTTGTGTGGGGCAGGGCGGGGTGTGTGTGTGTGTGTGTGTGTGTGTGTGTGTGTGTGTGTGTGACAGTCTCACTTTGTCACCCAGGCTAGAGCGTAGTGGCGTGATCTTGGCTCACTGAAGCATTGTCCTCCTGGGTTCAGGCTGCCCCGTAGTAGGTGGGACTACAGATGTGTGCCACCATGCCCAGCTAATTTTTTTTATATTTTTTGTAGAGACGTGGTTTCACCATGTTGCCCCAGGATGGTCTCAAACTTCTGGATTCAAGTGATCCTCCTGCCTTGGCCTCCCAAAGTACTGGGATTACAGGTGTGAGCCACCACACCCAGCCTGGATTCAATTTTCACCACTTTATACTCCAGGATATCTCCATATTCCCACTACAGTCCTTAAATCATAAAGGCAGGGATGTAGCCTGCAGAGCATACTGCTCAAATGCCATAAATTTTCACGGAAAGAAAAATAGCAACTGTCATCCTTACAGAACTGAAAATAAAGTAGGCAGGTTCTTGGAACTCTTCCTCAGATACTGCCAGTGGGACTTACTGTTGCAGTTTCTCGAACTCCTCAGCCTCCAGCTCTGCTGCACTTTTGCAGGTCACAGGCCGTGCACGGTGTCTGGTTTGCAGTACAGGAGTCTGTGGGTCTCTGCAAATCTTGGTCACAGAAGATTTGGAGGGTAACAGGTCTGTAAACAGAGATGACAGACATTCATCTAGCTTCGCAAGACCCAGTTTACTTTTAAGTGCTGATTCACCTATGTAGCCCAGAGAGGGATAAACCAACCACAAAGTGGCGGGCCCACAACCCTCAGCTCAGCTTACATGGGTAAAACCAACCAACATTCAGTTACTTCTCCCCTATTCCTCTTTTATTGAGGGGTATGACTAAGGTAGCCTTTGGGTAAACTCTACTGTCATCTTCTCAACTGAAAATCCATCCATGTCTGGTCTGATAGGTTCCTTATCACTGCAAGGGCCTAGACTGACTTTCATTTTCTTTGAGACAGGGTCTCACTCTGTTGTCCAGGCTAGAGTGCAGGGCCATAATGGCTCACTACAAATTCAACCTCCCTGGACTCAGGTGATCCTCCCACCTCAGCCTCCTAAGCAGCTGGGACTACAGACATGCACCACCACGCCCAGCTAATTTTTATATTCTCTGTAGCGACAGGGTTTCACTATGTTGCCCAGGCTGGTCTTGAACTACTGGGCTCAAGCAATACACCCATCTCAGCCTCCAAGATTGCTGGGATTATAGGTGTTAAGCCGCTGTGCCTGGCCAGGCCTAGACTTTCTATTGACAATGCCAATTATTTTGCTTGTTATTAACACAAAAAATTTTTGCTTATTCCAGCTTTAAGATATAAGACCTTCCTGGTCAGGCGCGGCGGCTCACGCCTGTAATCCCAGCACTTTGGGAAGCCGAGGCAGGTGGATCACGAGGTCAGGAGATCAAGACCAACCCGGCTAACACGGTGAAACCCCGTCTCTACAAAAAATACAAAAAATTAACTGGGCGTGGTGGCGTGCACCTGTAGTCCCAGCTACTCAGGAGGCTGAGGAATGGTGTGAACCCGGAGGTGGAGCTTGCAGTAAGCCGAGATTGTGCCACTGCACTCCAGCCTGGCAACAGAGCAAGACTGAGTCGTCAAAAAAAAAAAAAAAAAAAGATATAAGGCCTTCCTAAAGACCAAGTAAAGCCTGAATAGAATGGCTCAAACCTATAATTCCAGCAATTTAGAAGGCCAAAGCAGGAGGACTGCTTGAGGCCAGGTGCTCAAGACCAGTCTGGGCAACATAATGAGACCCTGTCTCTTAAGAAAATACAAAAATTAGGTGAGCATGGTGGCATGCACCTATAGTCCCAATTACTTGGAAGGCTAAGGCAGGAGGATCACTTGAGCCCAGGAGTTGGACACTGAAGTGAGCCATGATCATGCCACTGCACTCCAGCCTGGGTGACAGAGCAAGACCCTGTCTCTAAAAAGCAAAACAAGAAGGAAAATAAATAAATAAATAAAAATCAAAACAAAAAAAGACCAAGTGAAAACTCCCAATTTTATGAAATCAATATAAAAGCATCAAGACCACCTCTTATATATAGAAAATCAAATGGAGAAAATTAAAAACTAAGTTAAAGCATCAATATCAAGATATCACCACCACTCACTGAAAATACTAATTTACTTGGCCAGTGAAACCTTGTCAATTTTCATAACTAATATAGAATGAATCTTCCAATTTAGGTCTTGTCACGTAACAGTGGTAGATGAAAACCAAATCTATTTTAGAAATAAGCCATGTTTCAAAGATACATATAACCATTATTTAGCTGTAACTGTACAAAGTTTTAAATAAAAATTGCATAGTATAATTTCTCTTTCCATTTGCCAGGACTAGTATTCTAAAAGCATGACATATCAGACTCTGAGTCATATATTATTTGAAAAGTTATGCTTAATATTTAAATTTCCATTAGAATAAAGAAGAGTATTTCATTATTTTCATACTATAAAATCTAACAAAATCATTTTGGCTACTAGAACATAATAACAATATTTAAAAATGCTACACTTGACCAGGCGCAGTGACTCACATCTATAATCACAGCACTTTGGGAGGTCGAGGCGGGTGGATCACTTGAGGCCAGGAGTTCAAGACCAGCCTGGCCAATGCAGCAAAACTTGGTCTCTACTTAAAATACAAAAAGTAGCTGGGCATGGTGACACACACCTGTAATCCCAGCTACTCAGGAAGCTAAGGCACGAGAATCGCTTGAACCCAAGAGATGGACATTGCAGTGAGCTGAGATTGCGTCACTGCACTCCAGCCTGGGTGATGACAGCCAGAACGAGACTCTGTCTCAAAAAAAATGCCTATGCAAGGATATAAAAAATTTAGAGATCCTCAAAGGTAAAACAACCACATTCTGCTTTATCCAGAATACTATCCCTATACTCCCAACAACTATTTTATACCACCTCCACCCTTCAGATTTCATCTTCCTTCTTGTAGAAATTATTTCCGTAAAGATAGAAACTATTAAATTAGAACCCACTCATCTGCTCACCACCAAATCTACAAACTCCCCCAGTATTTGCACCCATTCCTCCCACTCTTCCATCCTCCTTTTAAAGAACACTCACTCCATCTGTGCTAAGTATCCCTCCAATACCTGCCTGTTCAGGGACTTAATCCATTAGTTATCTCCTCTCTCTCGTACCTTCAGCCTCTTTATCTCTGACAAGATTTCTCAACATTCAGACATGCTCTCCCTATCTCCCTCCTCCTCAAAAGCTCTTACCATAATTTGTAGTGACCTATTTATCTCTAATGATAGTTTAAGAATGCAAAGAACAGGCCGGGAGCGGTGGCTCAAGCCTGTAATCCCAGCACTTTGGGAGGCCGAGGCGGGTGGATCACGAGGTCAGGAGATCGAGACTGTCCTGGCTAACATGGTGAAACCCCGTCTCTACTAAAAATACAAAAAACTAGCCGGGCGTGGTGGCGGGCGCCTGTAGTCTCAGCTACTTGGGAGGCTGAGGCGGGAGAATGGCGTGAACCCGGGAGGCGGAGCTTGCAGTGAGCCGAGATCACGCCACTGCACTCCAGCCTGGGAGGCACAGCGAGACTCCGTCTCAAAAAAAAAAAAAAGAATGCAAAGAACTAGTTAATTTATCTCTAATGACAGAGATAAATACGTCGCTACAAATTATGGTAAGGGCTTTTGAAACTTGATGTCAGAAACTTGATGTCGAGTTTTGAAACTTGAATTAGAAACTTGATGTTGAGTAGCACCAAGTCCATTTTATTTACCTCTATACACCTAACACAGTGTGCCTGGTTAGTAGTAGTAAAAATTTTGGTGGACCACTGAATAAAAAGCACATAGCCTTGAATGAATGAATGAAATGCCTTCATTTTCTATAGGTAACTAAATGCAATGTGACACTTTGACATATGGCAAAAATGTCCATTAAGGACATGTAACGACATCTCAGGTTGCCTTAATTCATTCCCCTTGGCCAGTTATTGATGAGGAGGATCAAGATGGTTGATGGGTATAAGACAGACAGCTGGTTGGCTTGAAAAATTCTGAAGGATACATTTGTTGTCTGCACAGTCACATGCCATACTTTAATTGAAAAACTAGGATTTCAGCTAAAGACAAATCTGTGCTTAAGATGTAAGCAGAGGGAATATAGGAGAGGTTCCATCCAACGGTGATACTGGTAGGAAACTTACTAATATCATCCTTCTTGCTCCTCAAATGATATCTGTTAGGGGTTCGCTTATGGAAGTCTTCAACCTGCTGTGCAAGGGGCACATATGTAGAAACTGTTTCATCATATGTTCTTTTCTTTCCTTGGGACAGGTTGAAAGGCTTAACAATGGTACATCCCTTAGTCACTCGGGCCTGTAAAGAGAAAAGTTGTTCCCCAAATGAAATGTCATGGAAGAGCTCACATCTACCATAAGCCACATAGTTGGCACAGAGGATCAATAAAAAAGGCCTGTGTAAAACCAAGATTATTATTCTGAAGTTTGTCTGTCCTTGAGCAAGGGTTATAACTAGTCTATTCTCATTAAAAAGAAAAAAAAGAAAAAAAAAGGAGGAAAGGATCTAGCACTTAACAAATCTTATGTTCTAGAATAGTACATAGGTAATTTTTCCCCAACCATGTCAATGTTTTGAAGGAATCCAGAGTAAGCTATCTTAGAATTGAAGACAAAATGTGCTGCACAAAGGAATCTCACCCTCAACTTAATTTAAAAAAAAAAAAAAAAAAATTGATTGGGCCTCTGGGTCTACATCAGGTCAGGCAGCTTCCTGAATCAGTGGAATCTCTCCATACATCCCCTAAAGTGACTGATGAAGAAGCCAATTCCTATTCCTTGGACCAGTAATTTTGATAAAACTGTCTCTAATTGGAAGCAAAATCCTTCAAGGACCTGTATCTCAAAGAAAGAAGCATAACCTCAGGGTTTAAGAATGCAAATAACTAATTTCAAAAAATGATGATACTGACTACAAATGCAAGTGGAGATTATTAGTACTAGAATTTTTACTTACGATTGTTACTGACTTTGTTGGTGCTCTGGTAACAAAACAGCATGAGATTTGACTGGTCTGCCCCAACCCTATTTCTCCTATAAGATCTGTTATATTGGCCAGGCATGACAGCTCACGCTTGTAATCCCAGCACTTCGGGAGGCTGAGGCAGGTGGATCACCTGAGGTCAGGAGTTTGAGATCAGCTGGCTAACATGGGGATACCCTGTCCTACTAAAAATACAAAATTAGCCTGGGCATGGTGGCAGGCCGCTGTAATCCCAGCTACTTGGGAGGCTGAGGCAGGAGAACCACTTGAACCCAGGAGGCAGAAAGTTGCAGTAGCCACAATCGCGCCATTGCACTCCAGCCTGAGCAACAAAATGAAACTCCATTCCAAAAAAAAAGATCTGTTATATTTATCACAACTTTATAGACCAAGTTTTTTCTCCAATTATACTATTATAAACAGTGACCACAAATGCACACGTAAAATCCCCTAAATAATATTAGTAACAAGAAATGCTCATTTTGCCAGGCGTGGTGCGCTCACGCCCTGTAATCCCAGCACTTTGGGAGGCCGAGGTGGGCAGTT